TCTTTGGACTCAATAAAAATATAACCGTTCTAATTCTTTCCCTTTCTGAGATGGACACTTCGAAAATGGAGTTACCTAGAACTGTCCTCCATCCTTCGGCTGATGTTGTGGAGATTGCAGCCTAGACACTCTAAAACAGGTAAGGTTGATGTTGTGGAGATTGTTTTTACTCGTCAAAGTATAATAATTTCGTGATTATTCAGATCTTGTTTTTGTCTCTTTGATTTTTTCAAGCTCTTGGAATTGTATATAGTGCACTAATCAATGTGTGCGTTTCTGCAGATTGAAACTGCCAAAAACAGGATACATTTGATCGAATGTGACACCAGTCTCAATGATCATTGCCTCGTTGTTTGTGTCGATGGAAAGACCTTGATGCAGGTGAAGCGGCTTCATTGGAAGTTCCGTGGCAACGATACGATAATTGTCAACAGGATTTCTGTGGAAGTTCTCTGGGATGTCCACAGTTGGTCCTTCGGGCTGCCTTCATCACCAGGAAATGCTGTGTTTATGTTCATGACTTGTCAACCTGTTGAACCATGGTCTTTCACGCAAGTCCCGACGAGCTCAAAATCTCAAAGATATGGGTTTTCGTTGATTATGTACGCTTGGAAGAAGAGTAGAGAATAAGTATGGAGAGTTATTTTCTTTCTCTTGACTGCTAACAAAAGGTTAAAGGTTAAAAAAGGAACTGTTGATTCTTGTCATTTATTTATCATATTATCAAATGGGTTTCGGTCATAAGAACTTGAACTTCGCATATATCAGTTTCGTATGTCAGTTTCTACATTAGACTTGTAAAGACTCTTGTTTAAAGTCGATTGCTTTTGACCTTTGGTCCTATATCAAGGGACCATCTGTCCAAATACTCTGATTTTGTTCTTTAGGTACATAATGTTTCCTTATTGGAATGGTTAGTTTTAACAACGTTGCTAGTTATGATATTATATATATGCTGCTTATTAGTGGACATATCAGATTACAATGGCCTGAGCTGAAATTAGTGCTCTACAAAAATGGTACCCATGGAGATTGTTCCTAGAGAAAAATTCCTAAAACTGTAATCTCTATTATCACTCATATAAGCGTAACAACGTTTCTATGTCTACATCACCCCAAAAAGAATGAGAGGGTAAAATTGGAGAAAACAGAACAAGTTTTTAACATGAAAATGAGTACAAGCCTCTAAGAGCAAGTGGTTCTCAATGTTCAAAACTGAGCGTGGTATGTACAGTAGAAGAAACAAATCCTAACAAAAGCTGTTTATGCTCCCAAACTGGTTCCTTTGGCATGTCAATGGTCTGCTCGATCTACACCCTAACATCTATTCGAAGAAAACAAAAAAATTGAATTCAGATTCAGTAAGTAACAACCATTTGAATCATATTAAATAAGTTCAACAGAAGAAACATAGATAGTCTTCACATGTTGTCAGAGTTGCCAGAACTCTCTGCTGCTTCAGCACCACAAGCTAATATCACTTCCTCCTGGAAATTAAACAATAAAGGGAGACTGTAAAGGAAAACCAAAAAAATGAAACGAGATTGCATAAGGTCTAATTAGACTCCACTAAGAAAAAGCTAACAACAGCAAGAAGTTTCCCAATTGCTAACACCAAGTTAAAAAGTTAGAAGAGTAACACAAATAGGCCTCTCATATTGATCCTCACAATAGTCATTTGACCCAAGTGACAAGCTCCTAGTTCAAT